TAAGCAACTTGCAATCAATCAATCAACTTAATTAGTTTCAACAGATAATGCTTCTCTGAAACCTGCTGGCGAATTGCAGTTAGTGCTAGCTTTTTCTCCTTGGTCTTTGCTACTTTCAAACAAGATATGAAAGTATCACCCTCTTTATCCATTCTTTTTATCTTGTTCTTATTTTCATATACAGATAATTTCTTTTCAAACCTGAAAATTAGATTATTATAATACATAAATCCTCTGTTAGCACAAAAGAGCTGACCAATTAAAACATATATAGTACGCAGGAAAGGCACTTTAAACCCCTCAATATATTATGATCACATAATCTGAAATCGAACAAACATTACCATAAAGTTTACTTAGGAATCGTTATCAGAATTAATGTTTTTAATACTTCAAAGTCATGTTTTTTTCTGTTTACACTATAATTGAAAAAAAGAACATATTCGTATTTCCATCATATCTACAAATATAGAATAATGTTTACTGAAGAGAATTTTCAGCTTAGCAAGATGAGTATGTAGCATGTTGACAATGGAAAATTATAAACATGAAAAAACAAATTTTATCTGTTGCCAGCAGTTTAAGTTTCGGCAAGGCTATGATTTCAAAATGAGCAGTTTTTAATCTGAAAGTTCATTTAGTTTAAGTAATATACTGAAACATTGCTTTCAACAACTTGCGATCTATAGACTTTGACCACTGAACCTTGTAAATGAGGTCAAGGTCAGATGACACCTTTCAGCTAGACATGTACACCTTACAACCATTCCATACACCAAATATAGTAGATCTATTGCATATATACAGTATATGAAAAACAGATAAAAACACATAAACTTAACTATAACCACTGAACGATGAAAATGAGGTAAAGGTCAGATGACACCTGCCAGTTGCACATGTACACCTTACTGTCCTTCCATACACCGAATATACTAGAACTATTGCTTATAGTATCTGAGATATGGACTTGACAACCAAAACTTAACCTTGTCCACTGATCCATGAAATCAGGTCGAGGTCAAGTAAAAACTGTCTGACGGGCATGATGACCTTGCAAGGTACGCACATACCACATATAGGTATTATATTACTCTTCTTAGAGAGAAATTTAAAAAAAAACTTTTTTTTTCCAAGTAGTCACTGAACCATGAAAATGAGGTCAATGACAATGAACATGTGACGGGAAGAAATTTCGTAACATGAGGCATCTATATATAGGAGTTAAAAAGGAAACTCAGCATTCATGTGTCTACATCCAGCTTTGCTAAAGCCAAGTCGACGAATATGAAGATCTGACAAATCTGAAAGTGCTCACATGTTGTAACTCATCATTGTCAAGCTGCTGACCAAATATGAATTTGTTCTGTCTAGTAGTTCTTCATAAAAATGTGACAAAAACATTTATTGGGAGGAGTGGACAAACAGGGTGAATGTAAGTCTGCACTCCCAGTGTGGGAATACACTTAATTGTATACTACTAGTACATATATTAAAAAAAATAGCTTTATTGCCAACAGAGTATGGGGACACATTGTACTACCGGACATAATTTGTTATCTATTCACCTGAAGCTCATACACATCCTTTGCAGTTGTTTGTCTCTTCTTTGCGGTTGTAGTAGCTATAGGGACAGCATGGGATTCATTGAACACAGTTCTAGTCGGGTTTACTACAATTGGTACTCTCCGGTTACCAATAAACCCAGCAATTACTGATGGTGACTGAGGTGTTGAAGGTTGTGGTGAGGAGGCAGACTGACATTCAGGAGCTGATTCAAACAAATCCTGGGATCCTGTACATGCCATTTCGGAATCTTCTGGCAATGTTGCTTCAGTTGCACCAGCTAAAACAAATACAATATAGCTATAAAATTAATACGCAAGAGTTTTAGTTTTAAAAATACGATAGGGGTATAAACATTTTAAGATTTAGATCACAGACACATTATGGAGTAGATCCCCCTTTTTTGTTGTTGTCGGAAATGTTCATACATATTTTCAATTTATTTTAACTACTTTTTTTATTTATTCAATATATTCAATATTTTAAACAAGATATGAAAGAAAGAGTTTATGATATCTTCCGGATTTTAATTTTGATTGTCCTTTATTCGTGTTTATTGACTGTATCCGAACGCGTCTCTATACTGTCTATATTTATTGGCTCTATACGAAGTGTTATTCAACCATGTCTCTGCATAGTGTAATAAACAGATTATCTAGTTGATCAGTGGGTATAACTGATTCATTAAATGGATTACAATCACCAAAACAGGATGTTCACAGATATTAAAAAATAATATTTAAGTTTCTGAAAATTTTGGATTCTCAGCAAACAGGAGGTGCCAAAATATGAAGTGGCAAAAGCAGTGGAGAACTGTATTATGAATACATTTTGGATTCATTCCTTTAAAGAGTGATAGTCTACTTCCTTTATAATCAAAATGTGTTCTGCTAGTAGATCTTTTGTTGTTGATCATTTTTGTGATTTTAAGTGTATATTTATCTTTTATAATGTTTATCTCCCCCAAGGGTGACTGGGGAATAGAAATATGGTTACTAGGTCTTCTCCCGACCGGCAGTAAAACGCTTGCCAAAGTTGGGCGTCCGTTTGGCTGTGCAGGATGTATCAAGAGAGTGCCACGCTCTTTGCACGTTAAGAACCCTTGCAACAACTCTGAGGGGTCCGTAGGTGGCCTATTGCAAGGCAACAAATTCTGTCCCTATCCAACATACCCTCATTTTCCAGTGGTAGTCCAAATTTCCCCGACCATCATCCAAGATGACATCTTTTGTTACAAGACCTACCTGTTGCATTTATTGTTAACTTGTTCTCGTCCTGTATAACCCCAAGGGTGGCTGGGGAATAGAAATATGGTCACCATTGGTCTTCCTCCGACCGGCGGTAAAACCCTTGCTAAAGTGGGGCGTCCGTTTGGCTGTGCGGGATGTACAAATTTGCGGTCACGTCCGGTCAGAATGGGGACGTTAAATCCGATGCCTCGTGTCAAGAGAGTACCACGCTCTTTGCACGTTAAGAACCCTTGCAACAACTCTTTGAGGGGTCCGTAGGTGACCTGTTGCAAGTCTAAATTTCTGTCCCTATCCAATATACCCTTATTTCCCGTGGCAGTCTAAATAACTCCGACCTTAATCCCGGACGCCCCTCTTACAGAACCTACCTATTGTATTTATTGTTAATTTGTTCTCGTCCTGAATATGCATGAAATATTTGCCACTGGACGTTAAGCAACCAACAATCAATCATTACCTGTGTGACGTGCTAAAAAAGTAATTGTGACTTTACGTCTAGGTACTTGCTGTCCTACATTCTTTCATCCGGTATAAATAACGAATATGAAAGTGATACATTTCCTAGGGAATTTGTACATATCTATTTTAAGTTTACTCATAAATTCATGTGTAAATTTCACTAGCATCTTCTACTAATGTTTTCTTTTTCTTCCTCAAAGATAAATACTTCAAATAATTCAACTCTTTGTCACTAGAATGGTGACATCATTGAACATCAAATAACATCAAACCTAGTAACTATATGTAGTCAACATCATATATCATATCGTACGTTTGTTTGAAACAGACCAAAATTATAAACCTTTCGCCTTAATGTGTGGTTAAACACATGCTAGCCACACAGTCTTTCGGAAAACATGGTCAATCCTGTTACATCAAAAACAGTTCAAATTTGCAATAACGTTTCGAGGAAATATAAATATAAACCTGACTATCTTTTAGTTTCATTTCTCACCCTAAGAATTTTCTTTTCTGACTGTAGTCATTTGGTCTGTTTCTTCTCGTTTGACTCGTTTTTTTTTTTTTTTATTTTACTTAATCTTAACTGATATAAAACGATTCCGTCCACTAAAATCACCTCTGTAGCTGATATTTCTATCAAAACTGCTTTAAATTAAGAATGTTTGCCACTCTTCTTGATGTAAGTCTGAAAAGAATGAAGTAATTTGGTTAGGTTGTAGATGTTCTGCTGAGGAAAAAAGCAACTTCCTATTTTTAATTGTTGTCGTTTTCCTCATCCTAGAAAGTACCCCCAAGGGTGACTGGGGAATAGAAGTATAGTCACCATTGGTCTTCCTCCGACCGGCAGTAAAACCCTTGCTAAAGTGGGGCGTCCGTTTGGCTGTGCGGGATGTACAAATTTGCAGCCACGTCCGGTCAGAATGGGGACGTTAAATCCGATGCCTCGTGTAAAGAAAGTGCCACGCTCTTTGCACGTTAAGAACCCTTGCAACAAGTCTTTGAGGGGTCCGTAGGTGACCTGTTGCAAGGCAAAATTTCTGTCCCTTTCCAATATACCCTCATTTCCCGTGGCAGTCTAAATTTCTCCGACCTTAATCCCGGACGCCCCTATTATAGAACCTACCTATTGTATTTATTGTTAAATTGTTCTCGTCCTGAATATGCATGAAATATTTGCCACTGGGCGTTAAGCAACCAACAATCAATCAATCAATCCTAGAAAGTAACTGAATCTGCTTAAGTACACTTTTGTTTGTCCTCATTGACGATATCAGTTTAATAAGATTTTACAGCAAAGGAAAAACCGGTGGAATTTCTATTCCTGCCTACTGCTAGAATTTTTAAACATGAAATGGTTTTTTAAAGGCAGTGCTTTAATGCCTTTCTAGTTGCCGTGTTAATATTTCTTTCCGCGATATCCAACTTATCTACGTGGGGGGTCATTTAGCTCCAAGTAGATCCGGAAAATGTTGATTCTCTCCTCTTCTTATTGTGGTATAAAATGTTTTTTGTCTCATTTCATTTACATTGGGAAATAGAGAAACGATCATTGTGTTTTGTTAGTTTTAAAAACTTTTGATATATTTGTATTTTACATTATAAGCAGTCAACGATTGACAAACTAGAATTATTTGAATTCCTTGTGGAAAGAGGACGGGTTAATTTCGAGTGTTATCTGCAATTTAGATGTTTATAAATCATTTCAGTCGTTGATATAATAATTAAAGGTCGACTGAACATGAATTATATTATACAATTTAAAGCGCATTTCTGTTTATGCACGCGAACCCGTCTAACGTTATTGTTATTTCGCAGTTATATAAAGTAGCAAATTATCGTTCCTGAATAGGTGGCGCCGTGGTAGCCGAACCTGTACTTCAACTTCCGGTTTCTGCACTGTGCAACTATTACAGTTGCATTTTTAATTAACGATGCCAAGTACTTGTTGTTGTGTACCTGGATGTCATTTAAGAGGAGGACATGCATTTCCAAATGACTTAAAAAGAAGGAAAAGTTGGATCAACGCCATGGCCCATACGCAGATTGGACGAGAACACGATGAAATCGTGGAGTCCATCTCAATCAGCTGTTGTTTGCAAGGCACATTTTACTGAAAAAGACTACGTGCAGGAAACTGTTCATGGTAAAACTCTATTTTCTTTTTAAAATATATAGTTATAAATGTAATCGCCATGCGAATAAACCAAAGTCAGTTTACAACCGCAATTATCGTTTTAGAATAAAAGGGGGTGGTTAATTCAAGACGTCATAATTTTTTGGATTACGATTCAATGTGATCTGTTTGAGATTTTTTGGTGCTTGCTACAATTATAATGATTTCTTACAAGAGGTATATCATACTGAGAATTATTTTAGCAGTAATTATGCGTATGTAGTAATGACAGGAATGCATAAGCTTTGCCTCATAGACTTTCTTGAAAAATATCAATGACAATGTTAACAGGAACAAAACAATGACATGCTCTCATCTATATTATAGTTATTTAGGTACAAACAATGTATGTTTGTTGCATACGTCTCTCATTGTTTGTCCTTTGGATTTACATAACATACATTTTGATATACATTGAATCAGGCTAACATAGTTTTATCCAGATTGTAATGAATAAATCTAGTTAATATTTTGCCAGGTTACGAGTACAAAGGAATTATAGTTATCTCGTACCATTGTAACTCGTACCAATGTCAACTCGTACCACTAAACAAAAACTCGTTCCAATGCAAACTCGTACCACTGCTAACTCGTACCACGGTAAATTCATACCATTGTAAACTCGTACCAACTTATTTAAATGCATTCAAATGGTGTTTAATGATGAATATATACTTTAATTTCACTCAATACCTCTTAAGTCTGTAAAATGTATATAATTTGAAATTACAATAACCAATTTGTAGCTAATTTTCCTTGTCTAATTGGATAGAGAAAACCGTGGCAGATTGGCTTTGTTGTCTCCCTTGAATAGACTCTTTTTTAAACTTTTACTGACAACTATTTGATTTAATTTTTAATCATTCCAAATCAGTAACATTGAATAGATTTGGGTATTTTTCTATTGTTTCTAAAAGGAATTTTATTTAATGAAAGAATTTATTGATTGTGTTTTAAAGGTTTAAAATTGTTTATGACCAACAGTTAGAAAGTATGAAATTTATTTTTATACAATATTCAGCACATTTCAGCAGAATATGTATGACCATGCTTATATGATTATACAAGTTGATTAGTTAAAGATAAAAAAAACTAAGTTGATTAGTTAATAATCAACCAATAATCACACAATCAAAGGAATTTAATATATTTATTAGCATGGTAATTAAGAAATTACATTTGTATTTTTGTGTAAGTTTTCATTAAAATCTGGTATAAATTTCAAAGATATTTTAATTTTTTGTATAAAGCTTAAAAAAATAATAATCATAAAACATTCATATTTTTGTCTAAGTTTTCATTAAAATCTAGTATAAAATTCAAGTAATTCAACTTTTTTTATTTAGTTTACCAAAAAAAAAATCATAAAACTTTCGTATTTTTGAATATATTTTTAATGGTACGAGTTTGCAGTGGTAGGAGTTCTGATTGGTACGACTTCCCAGTGGTACGAGTTTACGTTGGTACGAGTTTACAATGGTACGAGTTAACTTGCTTCTGTACAAAGTATGCATTGCTAATGGAAGTTCATTTAATTATCAAAAAACAAATGTTTTATAACCTTTTTCAGGGCACAAACCCACCATACAGAGACTTAAGTCTACTGCCAATCCCAGCCTATTTCCTGGACCAAGCAAGAGACTGAATCGTCCGCAAAAAGAAAAATCAGGGCAGTTTCCTGTGAAAACAAAAGAACTAAACTTGATGAATATTGTAGTAGAAATCTAGAGGAAAGTTTTGATTGTAAAGTTGGTTTTCCTGAAGAAGTAATTCATTCTGCAGACAGGATTTATGACTGTCCACCACCAACTGCCGAGCTAATGTTGAGCTTCACAGATGGAATTACGCAAACACCATCAATGCCTATATTTTCAGCAGAGAATTTTGAAATGAAGACACGTGACACAGCCATGCATTTTTATACCGGTTTAGAGTTGTATACTAAATTTTTATTTGTTTTGACCACACTTGGTCCAACAGCACATTGTTTGAGATACATATATTTTCAAATTGATAGGGTGTCATTTGAAAATCAGTTTTTTTATGACTTTGATGAAATTGATGCATTATACAACCAACTTTGAACTGTCTAGATTCTAGATTGAAACTAGTGTTAAGAATATTGTGTAAACATGGATTGTTTTTATGTCTAAACAGTGGCGTGAGGCTAACACTTGGCCATTTAGTGGTTTAGTCAGGTATTTTTCGCCATCCAACTTAGAATTAAAGTTTCCTACAACTTGGATTATTATTGACAGCACAGAATATCCCGTTATAAAACCTAAAGCTCCTAGAGCTCAGGCAACCTTTTCATCATATAAAAACAGAAACACTGAAAATACTTGTATGTTCGACACCTGGTGGTTTAGTCAACTATGTCTCTAATGCATATGTTGGTTGTACCAGTGACTGTGAAATAGTTGAAAGATGTAGAATAGTTCAATTATGTGATCCAGGTGACAGTGTGATGGCAGACAAAGGTTTAATGTGAAAGATTTGTTTGCTCACTTTCTTCAAAAAAAGAAACAGAATTAGTTCCAAAACTCTTATACGGGATAGAAAAGTCTCCAATTAACACGTGCACATAGAGCTAATTATTGGACTTTGCAAAACATACAAAATTCTAATAAATCCTATGAATGGAACTGAAACAAAACTTTCATCTGAAATAACATTTAGTTGTTTTATGTTGTTTAATTTTAGAACTTGTATTGTGCCAAAGGATGCATAAATAAAAGTGACGCAATGAAGTTTGTTCTGATATATATATATAAATATTATTTACAATTACATGCACATGTAAATTGTAATGCATATAAAAATAAGGAGATGTGGTATGATATTCAGTGAGTTTATCGAACCAAAGTGCATAAGAAATGGGTTAAGCAGTTACAGGTGTTACTGTCACCATACAATCTCCAACAATTAGAAAAACTTGTACCGTGTAAAAAATTTCAGAGATCTTACAACTAAGTTTTGTTGTCTCACCTTGACTTTGGTGAATTGTTTATATCTGTTGATGTAAATATAAAAAAGAAGATGTGGTATGATTGCCAATGAGACAACTCTCCACAAGAGACCAAATGACACAGAAATTAACAGCTATAGGTCTCAGTACGGCCTTCAACAATGAGCAAAGCACATACCGCACAGTGAGCTATAAAAGGCCCCGAAATGACAATGTAAAACAATTCAAACAAGAAAACTAACGGCCTAATTTATGTACAAAAAATGAACGAATAACAAATATGCAACACATAAACAAACGACAACCACTGAATTACAGGCTCCTGACTTGGGACAGGCACATACATGTACATACAGAATGTGGCGGGGTTAAACATGTTCACGGGATCCCAACCCACCCCCTAACCTGGGACAGTGGTGTAACAGTACAATATAAGAGCGAACTATAAAAATCAGTTGAAAGAGGCTTAACTCATCAGATGGATAAATACAAATACAAGTGGACGTGGCCGGGTAGTTGTACATCCAAACAACAAAAAGACACTAAGTACAGATCTGAGAGTACTCGCATTTACTGACAGCTAGTTCAAAGCCACAAACAACTGATAAAAAAATCTTGCATCTAAGACTAAATTATCAATCCGTAAGCTCCCTTTAGAATTTTATAAATTTTAGATTTTACATTTCCGAATTATGGGGTTTATTCATTAAAAAGGGGGGGGGGGGGGGGGGGGGGATTTTCCAGTTTTTGGACAACAACTCAAAAATGCTTTAAGCAGTTCGCATGAAACTTTGGTGAATTATTTATAGCTATTGATGTAATCTCCCTATTGATTTTCATAAATTTCAAATATGACATTGAGAAGAAATTGAACTTTATTTGTTTATAGTCTGGCAACAGATTTATTAAGTATTGCGCAACAGCACAGTGTATTGCACAACAGCAAGAAATCTTTAATTGAATATAAATTCAATTCATATAACCGATTTCAAGTTCTTCGACTACATTTATTCAGAAACTATAATATGTCAAATATTTAATTACAATCCAAATTCAGACCTGTATCAAGCTTGAATATTGTGTCCATTTTTGCCCCAACTGTTCAGGGTTGGACCTCTGTGGGTGTATCCAGCTGCGCTCAGCCAATCAGTTTATTACTTAATTAAGAACTCCTTTTTGTCGAGCCTGCGACTTTTGTCGCAGAAAGCTCGACATAAGGATAGTGATCCGGCGGCGGCGTTAGCTAACTTCTTAAAAGCTTTATATTTTAGAAGGTGGAAGGTCTGGATGCTTCATACTTTGTATATGGATGCCTCATGTTACGAAGTTTCCGTCAGTCACATGTCCAATGTCCTTGACCTCATTTTCATGGTTCAGTGACTACTTGAAAAAAAAGTGTGCATACCTTGCAAGGTCCTCATGCCTGTCAGACAGTTTTCACTTGACCTCGACCTCATTTCATGGATCAGTGAACAAGGTTAAGTTTTGGTGGTCAAGTCCATATCTCAGATACTATAAGCAATAGGTCTAGTATATTCGGTGTATGGAAGGACTGTAAGGTGTACATGTCCAACTGGCAGGTGTCATCTGATCTTGACCTCATTTTCATGATTCAGTGGTTATAGTTAAGTTTTTGTGTTTTGGTCTGTTTACTTATACTGTATGCAATAGGTCTACTATATTTGGTGTATGGAATGATTGTAAGGTGTACATGTCTAGCTGGCAGGTGTCATCTGACCTTGACCTCATTTTCACGGTTCAGTGGTCAAAGTTAAGTTTTTGAGTTTTGTCTTTTTTTCTAATACTATATGCAATAGTTCAACTATATTTGGTGTATGGAAATATTTTATGATCTATATGTCAGTCACGCAGGTTTTTTTTTTTTACCTTGACCTCATTTTTAAGGTTCATTGCTCAGTTTAAAGTTTTTGTGTTTTGGTCTGTTTTTCTTAAACTATAAGCAATAGGTCAACTATATTTGTTGTTTGGAAGAATTGTTAGCTGTACATGCCTGCCTAGCATGGTTCATCTGACCTTGACCTCATTTTCTTGGTTCATTGGTCAATGTTTAGTTTACTTGGTTAATGTTAAGTTTATGTGACAGTTGTAATAAAGCTTTATATTTAGGACTATCAACATAATATCAATGATTAGTAAAGAAGGCGAGACATTTCAGCTTGTGCACTCTTGTTTCATTCATAAATTACTTTATACTTGGAAATATAATTTTGCTTGGAGTTATAGTTTCTAAAAAAAGTATTGTCATTGAAAGAGTTGACATGTTGCAATGTACATTTATTCTACATAGTTCTATAGTACCAAATCAAAAGTTTATATTAAAGAAAGAAGTCAAAGGTTTCCCCATCATAGTTTAGATACATACATTTTTTTTTGTACCTGAGGTCGTTGAATATAGATCATTATATAAATAAGGAGATGTGTTATGATTGCCAATGAAACAACTATCATCCATACATTGTACTTACCAGTAACAAACCACATTTGCAAAGTTGAATAAAATACAGTTGATAACATTTACTTATTACTTAAAAGAAAATGCCAAACTATTTTAAACAGTATTTGACTATAAACATAGATAAAAAAGGTACAAACTGGACATAATGCACTAGTTCATAAACAAGTGAGAACAATCGCCTTCATATAGTGCTCAGAATATGACATTCATAAAACTTGTTCAATATCATTAGAGAACTCTAAATCTTAAATACTGAAAGCCACCTCTGATAAGTACAATGTACTATGCAAGATAATGATATAACTGGACTAAAAATACACACAACCTGTAATTAACTGCCTTTACAGCGCTTTCGCGCTTTGATTTAGATAACCAGTGGTGGGAAATAACCATTATTATAATGTAATGTAGGATTGTCCTTTTTTGGCAAATCTGTTTACTAAATAGATGAAAATCAAATGCAAATGGGTTAAATAATAAGTGCCTTTCAAACCCCTTAAACAATGTTGCAATAGCCTTAACAACATTTAATTGCTCCCCACTTGTATATTTCCTAATTAGTTCCCCCCCACCCCCCCCCCCCCCCCCCCCCCCCCCCCCCAAAGGGTGACTGGGGAATAGAAGTATGGTCACCATTGGTCTTCCTCCGACCGGCAGTAAAACCCGTGCTAAAGTGGTGCGTCCGTTTGGCTGTGCGGGATGTATAAATTTGCAGCCACGTCCGGTCAGAATGGGGACGTTAAATCCGATGCCTCGTGTAAAGAGAGTGCCACGCTCTTTGCACGTTAAGAACCCTTGCAACAACTCTTTGAGGGGTCCGTAGGTGACCTGTTGCAAGGCTAAATTTTTGTCCCTATCCAATATACCCTCATTTCCCGTGGCAGTCTAAATTTCACCGACCTTAATCCCGGACGCCCCTCTTACAGAACCTACCTATTGTATTTATTGTTAATTTGTTCTCGTCCTGAATATGCATGAAATATTTGCCACTGGACGTTAAGCAACCAACAATCAATCAACCGTCCTGTATATGCATGCAATATTTGCCACTGGACGTTAAGCAACCGACAATCAATCAATGTAATGTTAATCATGTGAGGCAAAGAAAAATGACAAAAATTGTCATTAAAAGCAACAATTTAGCGGACAATTTCCTCTATATTGTCTTTAATGTAGATCTTGTCTTAGTGATCATTTTTGCTTTTGCAGTTTCTATCTTTCATCACCAAAAGGCAATAACTCGAGATGAGGTGTTACATGTATCAACGATGGAAGAAGGTTTTGACATACAAAGTATGAATGTGCCTGTAATTCAGAGGTTGTCGTTTGTTTATGTGTTACACATTTGTTTTTCGTTCATTTTTTGTACATAAATCAGGCTGTTATTTTTCTCGTTTGAATTGTTTAACATTGTCAATTCGGGGCCATTTATAGCTGACTATGCGGTATGGGCTTTGCTCATTGTTGAAGGTCGTACGGTGATTTATAGTTGTTAATTTCTGTGTCATTTTGGTCTCTTGTGGAGAGTTGTCTTATTTGCAATCATACCACATCTTTTTTAACGGTTACGGAAAAAAGCACGTAGCATTTGCGGATATTGGCGCCCAAACAAAAATAAAAAATAGGGTGGATTGGGTAACCGGAAACAACACATACTTTTTTTGGCCTTACCGTTACATTTCTGTTTTGATATGCAAAGCGATCGCTGTAGATGACCAGTTCTTTTACACACTCGAGTTTATAAATTAAATCGCTAAGACAGGATATAAAAGAATTTGCAGTGAGTTCTCATTCATTGTAGGGAGGTGAAGTTGAAAACCATTAATAATAAATGATTCATTAATAATAGGTAGTTCCAAGTTACGTGACTAAGTATTTCGGTACTGACATGATTTAACAAACCTTTCTAAAATTGTCCGTTTATAAATTTTGAAATTATAAGGAAACTAAGGTTTCAACTCCTTCAGGCAAAGTTGACTTTAGATGAATTTGGCTATTTATTTTAGGTAATTTTGTTAATATATAGCTCTTCAACGGTTTCGGTACTTATACATCTTCGGACTTCAAATGTTTGGCTTTGAACGTTCCTGATGAAGGTAAATCCAGAAAAGCGCTTCGGACGCATGACATTATTAAACGTGTTGTTTTCAATTTTTTACACCACTGGGTCGATACCTCTGCTGGTGGACTATCAGTCCCCGAGGGTATCTTCAGCTCAGTAAGTCAGTATTTCGGTACTGACATAATTTAACAAACCTTTCTAAAAATGTCCGTTTATAAATTTTGAAATTATAAGGAAACTAAGG